GATAGATAGATATTTTCTGTCTTCACTTCTGTTTTGAGTTTTATGGGCAGGAAAGCAAACTTATTTTATTCAAAATATCTGAGGTATAAGGATTTGTTTGGGTTAGCACTGCCCCCATGTGGTTATATTTTGTCACTACATGAATCACAAAAAGGACTCATTTTGAAAACAGTCGCACAACCTTTATTTACAGTCACCTGCATAAAGAAAAAAAAAATACAAACAATAACAGGATAAACAAACGGTGATGATGGGGCCTCAATGGGCCCCGAGGTACAACAGTTAAACCCTCGTACTGCAAAAATAAAACATGAAATTCTCTTAATCAGGAGAGGCAGATGAAGGAGCATGCTAAGGAAGGTTTACGACACACCCAGAAAAAAAAAAATCTGCCTGCAGTTAGATTTTAACTTCAATCGTTTGTTCAATGAGAGAATGAACGCGTTTCCTCTAAAACATTTTCTGCACAGAAAAAGAGAAACCAAGTATGATTTAACTCACGTGCTAAAAGCTGTAGTGTGAAGAAAGCAGGGATTTCTACTGGGGCTTTCATTGAATTAGACGGAAATAACTGATAGAGAGGCTTTATTTAGAGACAGTTAGAGATGGAGGACACTTTTAGGAGAATATAGGGATAAAAATGGGCTAATGATCTGCAATAAGGCTTCTGAAAAATCTGAGTAGTTAATTCCTGACCCGTTATATAGCGCTCATAATGATGTTGCGTAGAATTGCTCGTTTGCTTACATTTTTCCACATATGACTTCAAATATCAGTTAGGAGCTTCAACAGGCGGGGAGAGCAAATCTGTTCAGGCTCGTTTCTTCTGCAGTTGAGACTAAAGAATCCATAAATTTAATTTACACACACAGAACAGCGCTAACTTCACTTCGCTGCTAACGTACGATCAGGCCTCAGCTCAGGTTTCCATCTGTGGTTCGCCAACCGTCAGGAATCTGAATATCAGGTAAAGTTCTCTCAGTAATTCAGCTCCAACAAATGAAACTCATCACACCGATTAAGATGGAGAAGACTGCTGACCTGACAGACGACCAGCAGACAGCCATGGCTGTTCACAAAGTACCAAATTATAGAAGCGGAAAGTTGAGTGGAAGGAAAAAAGTCTCCTGAGCAACTTTAATAAACATCAAATATGTGATTTCTGTTGAACAAAAGTCTTCATTCCTCAAAGGTTTTAAATTAGATTTCACTTTGGGTAATAAATCTTTTTTTTCTGAAATAAATGAACTTTTCAATCATATTCTAATAGGAAGAGATGAACATGTATGTGGAATCAATAAAAATGTGCATCATCCCGCAAACTTTGGACCAAAATACAAATAAGAAAGCCTCACTTGGAAACTAGAGCTGTTATTCAAGTATGTTCTAGAAAAGTTATTTAAACATCTGACATAATATTTGCATCTTTCATAATGAAAATTAACAGCAAAGTCTCCTCATTTGGGTCTCTCAATGGTTGCAGGCTGGATACTCATTCTGTAAAGTAAGCACATTTAATTAAGTGGAAAAAAAGGGATCTAACTGGCTGAGGCGTTTAACGGCAGGTAAGATCTTCGCTGTAAAACGTAATGAAGTTCCCAGAGGAACAGCAGCAGCGTGGCTTTTTTTCTGACTGGGAAAGGGGCGGGATTTCAATCCGTGGGCATAAACTGTACCGGCAAACGCCTAAAACTGAAAATTTATAAAGCTAACGAAAAAAAAAATGTTCGAAAAATATATAAAACACTCATCCTGTCAGCTTTATCCTGACTTACATGGAGCAGCAGGATTTGGCTAAATTGACTACTTCCTTTTCACAGCAGCAGAATCTTCTTCTTTCAGGACGAACTTTTTCCTCAGAGCTTCTGATATCAGCGTGGCCGAGTCCTCCTCTCTGAGGGAGGTGCAGCCTCTGTTGTACCTGAACAAGGCAACACATCCCGTCAGTAAAAACTGCAAACAAAACAATGAACTTCCACCGTTTCTCCATCCCTCACCTGTCTTTACTCATCTTCATTTTGTTCATGTCCTTCAGGATGTCCATGACGTCGGCGAAGCTGGTGGACTTGGACAGAGACACCGTGTCTTCCTCCGCCTCCCGGAAATCCATGCTGGGCCTGTCCAGATCGAAGGTGGCCGACGCCGTCATGGAAACGGGAGGCAGAGGATCGGGAAGGAGCTCAGAGACGATGGAGACTACGTCTTTCTCATCTTCCTCCACCAGTTCTTCGTCTTCTGCCTCCTCCTCTTCCTCCTCAGTGACGTCGCTGATGACGAAGGAAGCGGGGGCTACGGTCGCCGGCTGGAGGGACGCGGTCTCGAATGGGGCCATGGAAAACCCCATGCTGGTGTCATCAGGGGAGAGCAGCTCGGGGGTGAGGGGGTTAGAGTCTGGAGGAAAAGAAAAACTTCAAACATTTACTGATAATTTGTTTCCATTTTTGTTCAATTCTGTTTTATTTTTCTTATTTCAATTAAAGATTTATTAAAAAATAAAATCCTCTTCTACGTCAATTCTTTAACAAGAAGAAAAAGCCAAATGAGATGATTTTGTTCTCACATGGTTGTATGGTCAGCTGCAGCTTCGCTGTCAATGGTGCTAAACGCTAACATCAGTTTGACTGGAGGAGGCTCAATGTTTAATTAAGAGGCATTAAAATAAGGTTTTTATTTGCTTTGTCCATAACCAGCAGTCAGGCTTTTTGGAATTATTTATCAAAAACTCTCAGAGTCAACAACAGCAGGACATGAGGGCCAACACCTCGCTCTTCCAGCTGCTCCATCTTCACAAGTTGTTTTCCAAAATGGCGGTCAGACAAACAAAAAGGTGCTAAACAGGAAATAAGCATAGTGTAGAGCAGATTTAGGTTTGACCAATCAGAGGCTTCCAGTCTGCGGTCACCTACAGTTTTGTGAGGTGCAGCAGAGTGTCTGTGGAAGGGGCGGGGCATATCTGTGTTAACTGCAACACAAACGCAGACGACCTGATTTCTGAGCATAAACCAGCCTTGAGATGTAATTAGGGGAGTTAGTTTCTGGTTGTTTTTCAGTTTCTAGTCATTTTTATTTGCCATCACTCAGAAGGCGAGTTCTGTGGGCCCTGATACCATCCGCCCTGCTGCGCCTCAGGTCATACATGTAGCGTATGAGCAGAGGGCGAGCAGGGTGGAGGGAGCCCTTGACGATCCCCCCTGCTTCTTTTTCCGACAGCGCTTTACGAACAACCTGTCGAAGGAGGAACTTCCGTCCCAACAATCCCTTCTGCAGTCTTCATTACTCTCTGCAGAGCCTTCCTCTTCGTCTGTGGGTTATTCTCATATAATACAATAACCGACGTTTAGAGGCTTTTTTTAAATGTAGCTTGTGCAAACTAACACCTTTTCACATGAAAAAGAATCAGCAGCCTTTCATGACCAGCTCAGCTTAGGTTATATACAGGAAGGAACCATGAAACTGTACCAAAAATATCCAAATTATTAGAAACGGTACCAGTAAACTAATCTAAGGTCAATTATCAAAAAAAAAACATAATATTTACAATAATTCAACCCAAAGCTACTCTCCTGTTTACTTTGGTTCCAAGAGCTTTAAACTGCACCTGGAGGATTTTCTCCAAACCAGGAAGAACTAGTTTCCTTGAGCAAACATGTCATTTCTCAAAGTAATGTAAAAAAAAAAAAAAAAACTAAGCAGAAATATGAGTCCATCCAGCGTGCCAAACATACCTGCTTCAGTCTTAACAGACGATACAAACATTACATCCTCATTAAAGCTGCTTTCAGGGAGCCCTTTGCTCACAATGACTGATTTAAAAAAAAAAAAAGAAATACATGTATTTACTTAGAATCTGTTTCCATACTTTTCCAGACCTGGAAAATGAATCAAATCTCCAGAGTTTTTCAGGCTGTATGGAAACATTTAAAGAAATTTATACTAAGCCTCCAAAGTCTGAATTTAACAGAAAACATGATGCACTCAGCTTGTCTGTGTTAAACCAGCAGCTCCCAGCAGGGATAATCTTCCATCACTGACCTACAAACTGGTGCCAAGTCACCTCACTACCAAACCGCTTACAGGGAATCAGGGCAGCTGGACGAGTCACACGAAGACACCAGCGCTGCCGTATACTCCTTAGTGAGAGCAACATGAAACCTGCATCGCTCTGAAATGTTTGATGATTCATTGATAATAAAATAAAAACCCAACAGGTTTTATCAGTGGCTATATTACTTTCAAACTGCCTCTAGTAACAGAAGTTACAGACAAAAGAGCGTCTCTCATCACAGTGAGTTACTGACCTGAATCACTTGCAACAATCTTTGCGATCTGAGCCCTCAGTCTGCTGAGCTCTTCCTGCAGGGCGGTGGTTCGGTTCAGCGCCGTCACCCCAGGCTTCCTCAGGCCCTCCATCCTTTTGCCTTCCCGACGGAAATTGGGCACAGATGAGTTCCTGTGGAGAACTAGGAGGGGTGTGGGCCGCCATTCGTGTTTCAGAGGGCGCGTGTCACTTCTGCAAAGAAAACACTGATGAGTGTCAATCCAAAAAAAAAACATGTTTACCATCAAAAACCTCCAACTTAGTAAGTAGAGGTGAAACCACAATTCAATTAAATGGTTAACGACTCCATTACGAAAATGCAAAATAAAAAATGATCCACATGTTTATCTACATGAAATGTCTACAATAAAATTCAAAAAGGAGAAAACATTATTGTTATACATATATATATATATATATATATATATATATATATATAT